CCTCCCTCCCTCCCTCCCTCCCTCCCTCCCTCCCTCCCTCCTTCCTACTCTTTTTCTTTTTTTTTTTTTTTTTTTTTTTTTTTAGAAAATGTTAGTAGTCTAAATTTATCTAACTCAATTACTTAAAAAACATCCTGTTTGAATTTGGTCATGGCCACTACTCTGTAGCCTCAGAACTTGGGGTGGGGAGGCAGGATGGTGAGTTTTAGCTTGGCCTTGGCTATGTAGAGTTCTTGGCTAGCCTTGTACCCGAGACTCTATAAAACAACAATAGCAATAACCCTGTACTGTTTTATGCATGTTCTGCCATAAGGTTTATGCCTCAGTTTCTTGAAAGATGCTAACTCTGGATGACTTCCTGGAATTGTCTACATGTATTCTGGGCTCAGGTTTTAGTTGCCTTTGCTTTTGAGATAGTGTCTTATGTAGTCCAGACTGACCTGAACTTCTTATGTAGTCAAGGAGGACCCTGAAACCCTGATCCTTCTGCCTCCATTTCCCAAAATGCTGGGGCTACAGATGTGCACAGCACCATGTTACCTTGATCATTTATTTTTCTTCAAGACCTCCTCACAGTGTTTACTATTTTGTGTTTCTTTGTTTTCATGTGCTTATTTAGAATGTGATTGGAGCAGTTAGTGTGTCTGCTGGGTAAGGATATTAGGATGGGGTTAGGAACAGGTAGAGCACTGGGTACTTTTAGTGAGACACTGACTACTTCATGGTCTTACTGTGTAGAGTAGACAGCTGTCATGCTGCTCTGGTTCTCTGGGACAGCCTATGTACTGTTCTGTGCAAGCAGCCTTCCAAGTGTTTGGCCTGGTGATTAGTGTCTGATGAACTATACGTAAGATGTTGAATCACACTGTGATTGAGTTTTATAAGTAACTGGGAGCTATTGTAAATTAAAAGAATTATTTTTGATTTGGATGAAATACATGTGGTCTACCCTCTTCTTAATTATGCTGAGCATACACTTTCAAATGGTATTAATTAAGCTTACTGTTCTAGTTAGGGTTACTATTGCTGTGATGAAACACCATGACCAAAGCAACTTGGGAAGAAAGGGTTTATTTTAGCTTACACTTCCAGATAACAAGCCATCACTGAAGGAAGTCAGGGCAGGAACCTGGAGGCAGGCGCTGGTGCAGAGGCCATGGAAGAATGCTGCTTACTGGCTTGCTCATGCCTTGCCCTGGACCAGCAGCCTGTGGTGGACCTGCCCCCAATGGGCTATGCCCTTCCCCATCAATCACTAATTAAGAAAATGCCCCACAGACTGATCTTACGGAGGCATTTTTCTCAGTAGAGGCTTTCTCCTCAGATGACTGTAGCTGTGTCACATTAACATAAAACTCGATAACACACTTTCAGTACTGTGCAGGCGTCTTGCCATCCGGTTTTAAAGCGCTCTTATCTTCCAGAACTGAAATTATACCCATTAAACAGGGACTTCCCGTCCCTCTCTTTTTGTCAGCTTCTGGCAGACTTGTTCATCTTCTTGTCTCTGAATCTTACTGGTCTAGGTACTGCATGTAAATAGACTTACGTGTCTTATCTTTTTAAGAAGTTGAAAGAAGCAATGCATGGGATTACCATTTAACCGTTTTGAAGTATGTGAGGTACCTTCATATTGTAAAACAGATCTCCAAAACTTTATCTTGAAGTGTTTTAGTCATTAAACAACAAAACCTTCTGACCTCTGTCTTTGGTGCCCACTGTCTTTGTACTTTATGTCTTTAAGACTTTGACTCCCTTAAATACTTACTGTAACTGGAACCTTAAGTCTTTTTGTGACTGCTTATTTCACTTAATGTAATGTCCTCAAGGTTTGTCTTATGTTGGAGCATGTAGGTTCCTTCCTTGGTGGTTAACTAATAAATACTTTATTGTATGTGTATACATTACTTTGTTTACACATCCATTGGTTGATGGCCACTCAGGTTGCTTTTTGAATAGTGCTGCTGTGAACATAAATGTAGAAATTTCCTAATGAGACCCTGTATTAAGTTCTTTTTGGCATATATGCAGGAGGGGATCTCTGAGTCATATTGTAACTTATTTTATTTTATTTTTTTTTGAGGACCCACACACTGTTTTCTATAGCATCCACAGCATTTTATGTTCCTTTCAGTAAAGGTTGCAATTTATCTCTGTTATCATCAACACATGTTGTTTTCTTTTCAAAATGAAGTAGCTTATGATGATGGATGTGGGTTGTGTAGATTTTTCACCAGAGAGTGGTGTCTGAAAGACCATCCAGGAACACTGGCATTGACTCAGGAGTATGTTGGTAAAGTGGCTTGTTTAAAGTGTGTGTGTGTGTTGGGGGTGCAGATAATAATTTGAGAAGTCGTGGAAAAATGGAAATGATTTGTTTGAGTTTAAGTAAGTAAGAAGTAACATCAGAATAAGTTTTACATTTTGAACCTGGCTATTGTAAAAATAGGGGAACAGAGTTGGAGAGAGAATTAATTTATTCATCTTTTGAGTTTTTGATTATGGACATAATGTGGGAATATGGGCAACCTGCTTGCCCATAGTAGGTGTGAAAGCAGGTCTTGGGAGAGCCCGTGGGATAGATGCCATGCTATTTCTTGCTTAAATATTGTTTTCTTTAGAAAAAAATAATGATGCGCTTTTCCTTCTCAATTTTTTCCAGCTCTTGCAAGCTTAGGATATGAAAAGAGCTGTGTGTTGTTCAATTGTGCTGCCTTAGCTAGCCAGATTGCAGCAGAGCAGAACCTGGATAATGATGAAGGGATGAAAACCGCTGCTAAGCAGTACCAGGTATGCAGAAAAGCAGTTCCTACACAGGGTGCACACTGGACTCAGGAGTGATTGTGTTTAGGTGATAGTTGCTGCCTTCTTCATGATAGATGCTCAGGGAAAGTCGTGCTCTTGTAAACAGATCTTGCCGTTGAATCCTTAGATAAACACTTGAACACTAAAGAGTTGTTCTGTAGCCCATGTCTGTTCTCCTCCCTGTGTACACCCACCCAGCACCTAGCACAGTGCCTGGCACATAAGAGAGGCTCAATGAATGTTGATTGGACAACAAAGATGAAAATGTGAAAACCTCTTATAAGTAAATGACTTCACTCACAAACTCTTAGATATTTGTGTGTGTGTTTTCTTAGGGCAAGGCACATCCAAATTTTCAGTGGTATGACAAAATTAAGAACTTTTGGCAAGAAAACAAGTTAACTGTAGACTTTGGAGAAGTCATGTTTAAATGTTATCAGGCTTGGAATATTTTTAAGATTGCTAATTCTCTTAGGGAATAGTTGTAGGCTAATATGGCATGCTTTTTTGTGACAGTTTATTATTTTGTGACAATTTTTATTTTTTGTTTCAGATACAAGAACAATAAGTGATACATATTTATTTTAAGTTTCATTTTAAAAGTGTGTGTGTGTATGGTTAAGCATGTGTGTGGAGGTCACAGGACAACTTGGGGGAGCTTGGTTTCTCCTTCCACCATATAGCTTTAGCTGTGGCTTGAACCCAGGTTGTCAGGCTTAGTGATAGGCACTTTTACGCATTGAGCCATCTTGCAGGCCCCATAATAGTCTTGCTAATACACTGACTTTGAGTTCTGTCTATATGGCTTACCAAGTTAACCTACATTAAAATTCCAGACTTGTTTTTTTCTTTTTTTCCCAGCTTAATTTGTTTCATAAAAAAAAAAAAATAATTTTAATAGTAACCGCAACAAAATAAAAAAATGTAAAAGGGAATATTCACTAGGAAGTTAGTGCCATTGTGGGCCCTCAGAGTGTACCATTTGGGGTGTCTCCTAAGCCCAGTATGCTTATTTGAAAGATGGTTTTGGGATAAAGGCAAGAGCACATACTGAAAACATTTGAGTAGAGGCTGGAGGAGTGTCTCAGTCAGTAAAGCATTGCCTTGTTAGCTCAAGGACCTGAGTTTGATCCCCTGCATCCACACAATGAGTACTGGGCTTGGTGTTGTCTGCTTGTAATCCTGTTCCCTGGGCTCGACGGCCAGCCTGCCTAATGGGTGAGCTCTAGACCAGTGGGAGGTCTCAAAGGAAGTGGGTAGAGGTCTTGAGGCTGACGCAAGAGATTGCCCTTCGGCCTACATGCACGCACACATTCACATGTAGAAGCACATGCCATACAGGTACACTTGTACACTCACGCACACATACACAGCCATTTGAGTAGAGTGGTTACTTCTTCATCTGTTTTTAGGTGAGTTTTGAGAAGTGTATCTGAGAGTTAAGTTTGATCACTTTTTGCCATTCACTTTACCCTGTAGTCTCCTTTGAATCTTTGTTAAATTGTTTGTTGCTCTAGAATTGTGGAGAGGATGCTATCTGTGAATGAGATGCTTTAGGTCACAGTGTGGAAGTGTATCTATAATTGCCTGGCATGTAGAAGATGTTTGTGTGTAACAGTAGAAAATTAAGCCTCATTTTTAAAGAATTTTTTTCCCTCTTTTTCTAGTTTGCTAGTGGTGCCTTTTTACATATTAAAGACACAGTTTTGTCTGCCTTAAGTCGAGAGCCTACTGTGGACATATCTCCAGATACTGTTGGGACCCTCAGTCTTATTATGCTGGCCCAAGCTCAAGAAGTATTTTTCTTAAAAGCCACAAGAGGTGAGTCCAATTTCTTCTTTACTGTGTTACATGTGAAAACAAGTGTTGGGCTTTTTTACCAAGAGAGTGACTAGAACACAGTATGTTCCATGGAGGGAGGGATGGTGAGAGGTCACTGAGGAGCTGAGCTCATGTCAGAGGGAGAGTCGCCTGGGGGGAGATAAACTGCCTCATGTGGCAGTGGCTGTGCTCTGGCTGTGGATTGCTGCATTTGAATCAGTCAAGAGTGATTTCTTTTTAAGAGTCTGTTTAAGGATGTGTGTAGTTATCTGTGCCCTGCGGTGAAAAGAAGGGCATGGGTCCCCTGGGACTGGGCATTGTGAGCTGCTTGATATGGGTGCTGGGAGTCTTTCTTCATGATTGAGCAGCAAGTGCTCTTAACCACTGAGCCATCAAGAACGGTTTCTTTTAAATGTCTATGGCTGTTGTGATTTCTGTATGTATGGGTACCACTATTGTGCTTAGTACCATTGGGGCCTGAAAGAGGGCATCGGATTCCCTGGAACAGGAGGGGTTAGGCAGTTATGAGCTGCCATGCAGGTGTTGGGAACTGAAACTGGGTTCTCTGGAGGACAGCCAGTGCTCTTAACTGTTGAGCACTGGCTCAACATCTAGTCCCAGATGTATACATTTTATCTCAGTGTCTGTGCCATCAAGTATTGGGTTATCTCATTTATCTTATTCTATTTTATTTTGTATGTGTGTGTGTTGGGGGGGGGGGGATGCAGGCCCACGTTTGCCTGCATGGTGTTTGTGTGGAGGTCAGAGGGCAACTTTCAAGAGTTAGTTCTCTCCTTCCACTGGGAGTCCTGGTGGTAGATTGCAGGCTATCAAAGTTGTGCAGTGCATACCTTTACCTGCTAAGTTTTGTTGCTGGTCCTTGTCTCATTTATTTCAGTTCTAATGATCAGTTTAACATTTTATTCCAGATAAAATGAAAGATGCCATCATAGCTAAGCTGGCAAATCAGGCTGCAGATTACTTTGGTGATGCTTTCAAACAGTGTCAGTATAAAGATACTCTCCCCAAGGTCAGTTACTGTCTTCATAGACAATTGGTTATTTTGCATGTGGGAATTTTTTTATGTATGAGCAATAAGTTGAAAAGTATGTTTTAATAAAGAAATCTGGTATTTTAATGGAAACGTGAAGAACAGTTTTGAGAGTTGTTTTTTTTTTTTTTTACATTTTAAGATGCATGAAATGTTTTTTTTTTTTTTTTAAGAGGATGGTTTTTATTTACTCTTTACTAAACCTCTTTTTCCTGAGCTGAACTCTTTCTAGAAAACTTTGTCTGTCTTCAATCATTTTATCATTATGATTGTTGGTAGTTTTGGAGGAAGCATGGATGTGGAGCATGTTGGTGACTCACATTTTTAATCATTGTCCTGTTTTCTTAAGGATGAGCCTTAAAGTGCAAAAACAGGCATAACGAAGAAAGGAAAAGTTAAATTCATCCGATTCCTTGATTAGAATTACATTTTACCAACAGGGATAGGAAATTTGGCTGCTAATGGACAGCTAAGGAAAAGCAACTGTCTTGACCACATGCCATAGGAAACATTGTTTTAATGTAAGCTTTTGTGAAGGGGTAATGGAGAAGACTGTTCAGAGATGGCTTGTAAATGACAAAGCATGTGATCTTGACACTGGCACGAAGGATGTTTTAGCTGCTCTCCCTCACAGCTGGTCAAGAATTTGGTTACCTGTGGTAGATAGTGGCTGGTGTTTGTAGGAGAATCTGTGAGTTCATGTTATTCAGGGATCTTCATAAATTATGAAATTGCAGAAAACACAGGGTACAGTTAAAAATAGACCTAAGGTGCCCAACAGCACATGAGCTAATGTCAAGACCTGGGGGTTTAAGGCACACTAGCCTCGTGACCCTTGCTGGACACTTGCCTAGCACCTAGTGCACTGGGTCTCACCCACAGCACTGCCGCTGCCCCAGTGCCCCAGTCCAGAAGTTTGCTGAGGACCTCTGTCTGTTAGTGCCGTTTCTCATAACCTCTCTCCATGTTTGGCTGCACCACGCACTGTCACTTCCTATCACATCAGCAGTTGAGTCCTGTTACAGTCTAATCACAGTCCTGTCACTTCAAAGGCTTGCAGGCCACCTCTGCAGCATGCCTGGGCCTTCCTGGGACATCTTTATTACATGTTCCCGCCTTCCTGAGTACCGGCAGGTTCAGACTGCAGTGACTTTGAGTTTTCCTTTCACTAAGTCTTCACACGCATTTCACATCCAGTTCTAACTGGCTGTCCATCAGCAGCAATTCAGTTCTCCTCTAACTGGACATCTGTAAGCAGTGGCTTAGAGTGCTGGCGTTTCCCCCTGGCAGACAGAAAACGCTCATGGTAGAAAACGCTCTTAATATAACAATTATCTAGTGTATTTATTGGGTTTAAAAAAATGCCATGAGTTTTAGAAAAATAGTGAGATTGCAGGATAGGACTTGACATTTTCCAAGAGCCTTTCTTGACTCATGTGTTTGGATTGAAGTGTATTAGACTATAGTTATTTTAAAAATAAGTTAGGACAAAGTTACAGTGTATCATCACGGTTAGTCATTAGTGTATCTATATCTGCAATGTATTTTGAGTATATAGTACTGAAATGTTAATGTTTATATACTAAATTATTTTTATTGGCTACCATACTCTTTATTACAGTCTCTTAGCATGTGAATTTAAGTGAAGACTTACCTTCATGTCTTTTGTCTTTTAAACATGACAGTCAGCTCTAGAGCAGTTTCTTAGTATTTGTGAGTAACGGTGGTGTAGGTCTCTGAAGGCTGGGTAAGGGGCCACGGAAGCGGCTGAACCGGTACTCCTCCATGAGCTTCCCAATCTTTCTAATGCACGCCTTCCTTTCTTCCTGTAAACAAAATGCTGATTTTCTGACTCCTTAGAATGAGCTTTAAAAAAACCTGAATTGGCTTCACTTAACAGTTTAAAACAAACGAACAGACAGATAAACCCTAATTTTAACTGAAAGAAGCTTGACTTCACAGATGGCAATTCCCACAGAAGCACAAGGTCTTCTTGCTCACACTAATGACTAACCTATCTAAAGCGTTCCTGGGTGATTGTAATTTCTGTCTCCTTCTCCTTTCTCTTCCTGCACCCTGTTGTCTGTGATGGTTTGTGTGGTTGGACTCTTCCCTGGTCAGTATTTTTATTTCCAGGAGGTATTCCCCACTCTGGCTGCAAAGCAGTATGTCATGCAGGCCAATGCTGAGTACCACCAGTCCATCCTGGCTAAGCAGCAGAAGAAGTTCGGGGAAGAGATCGCAAGGTTGCAGGTGAGTCTCTTGATGATAAATGTTTAGTTGATGTCCTTCTCCCATTTCTTCTTAGTGTCATGCAGGTTTACCTTTGAACATTTCCCTGGTTCATTGTCTTTACCAGCAGAGACAAGTGATGTTTTTCATCTTTATACTTTACCCACAAGCATGCTTTGCAAAATCTTACATGTTATCTAAAAATTGCATTAACATTTTCTGTTCTCTTATTTATCCATGTTTATCTTAGTGTTAAAATGTTTTAAATTGAGACAGGTGGTGGGTGGGGGAGGTGCATACCTTTAATCTCAGCACTTGGGGGACAGGGGCAGGCAGATCTCTAGTTTGAGGCAGTCTGGTCTAAGGAATGAGTTCTAGGGCAGCCAGGACTACACAGAGAGACCCTCTCTTGAAAAAAACAAAAATAAAATAAAGTTCTAAATTAATTATCATGTCCCAGAAGATACGTACTTCTTTGCTTGTGTGGTAGGCTTGTGAACTGGAGAGTCTAACTCCACAGTCTGAGACAGATATGGGTTTATGGACACTGGTCTTTTCACTGTGATTCTTTTTTTTCTGTACTGTGTATATGGGACAGGTGCCCTTGTCCTTGCTTTTGCTGTGTGTGTGTGTGTGTGTGTGTGTGTGTGTGTGTGTGTGTGTCTGTCTTTCTTGTCTGTCTTGTGTCTTGTGAGGTGTGTGAGTGTGTAGAAGCCAGAGGTCAGTGTTGTGTCTTTTATAATCATTCTCCATCATGGTTTTTGAGAAAGTTTCTCACAACCAAGAGCTTGTTGTTTAGATCTGGAGTAGCTGGTCTCCCTGCCCCTCACCATGAGCTAGGGTGGGAGTGACAGGGTTTGTAACCAGGCTGGCTTCACACTCCTTATCATCTTTCTTCAGCCTCCTGAATGCTGAGGTTCTTGGTACATTTCACGATGCCTTGCCAAATTTTAACTGTTATGACAAATCTCACAAATTAGGAGTCTGAATCAATAAGTGACTGCTGACTTGATGACTTGATTTGCTGTTTTGTTTTTAAGATTTCTCTGTGTAACCTAGGCTGGATCTTGAATGCTCAGAATACAGATATGCTATTATCATCTTTTCTTCCTGGCTTACTTTTTTTTGCGAGACAGTGTCTCAGTGTGTAACAGGCTGGCCTAACTTCCTGATGCTCTTTCCTCCACCTCAGTGCTGGGGTCACACCAGCGCACTTATTATTTGATGCCTTGTGCGTGGTGGACCAGTGCTCTACTGAGTTACACTTTCTGCTGGCGTACTTTCTGGGTGATGTTTTCAAGTGTGTTTTATTCGATTCGTTGAATTTTTTTTCGTTTTTAACCCTTTTGTTTGCTTTTTCTAACATTTTTAGTTTATTGTTTTTCTCATTCATGGTCTTGACTTTCTCATCTGTGTTGCTGACTTTTTTTTTCTAGGTTGTGAATTTCTTCATCTTGTATCCTATGAAGTCATGGATCATTAGAAATAATAATTAATTTATGTGTGTAGGTGTTTTGTCTATGTGTATGCCTGTGTACCATGTGTATGCTGTACTTTTGGAGGTCAGAAGAGGGCATCCGATACTATGGAACTGGAGTTACAGTTGTGAGCTACCATGTAGGTGCTGGGAACTGAACCCACAACCTCTGGAAGAGCGGACAGTGCTTTTAACTGTTGAGCCATCCTTCCAGACCCATTTTTAGAAATATTAAAAAAAATTGTTTACCCTTCACTTCTGTTAGTCTTCTAAAGATTAAAAAGAAATATGTGTGTGGGTATGTGTTTTTGTGTGCGTGTGTGCATGTGAGTGTAGTTGCCTTCCGAGGCCTGCAGCAGTGATAAACAGTTGTGGGGAAAGGTGAAAAGTGCTGTAGACGTAAGAAGCCAGGCAAAGGGAAAGTATGGAGAGCTAGGAAGTCGAAGGGTAAAGCATAAGAGATTAAAAGAAAGATTGTTTAGTAGTGAAAATGCATAAATAACATTAGATGGATAGAAGATAAGAAGTAAACTTTTGAAAAGAAAAACAATGAAAATAACACTAAAACCACAAAGACAATAGGAAACACAAGGCCCCCCCAACAAAAAAATAAAGGGAAGAAAAATGAAATTTGCCAAAAATATTTTTTTAAAATATGCCTACAAATTAGATCATCTTTAGCAGGGAGATAATGAAAATGTGATTGTTTTATATATATTTTCTGGGAAAAAAAAAAAGACATATTACCAATAAGTGAAGAGTACACGGCAAAGCACTAACTAGATGGCATGCAGAAATGATGTCTCTGTGTCTTCTGCAGGGTAGCTGCAGGCAGGGGCATGGCTGACTGTATGGGTCCACTGAGTTTGGATTGGACAAGTATTGCTGTGTGCCAGAGCTACCTTCACCCGAGTCACTTTCCTCCTTTTCCTACCAGGGCTTCTGCCAAGCGCCTAGAGGTCTGTAGCTGTATGCCAGACAGGGTCTACCTGCCATCCTCAGATTGCCCAGTTCCTGTGCCCTATGGGAGCTGATAGCTGCGCAGTGCCCCTCCAGTGTGTCGATAGAGAGGACAGCACTGCGCTCTGTCCCCGTTTATCTGTCCTCAGACTTTAAAAGCCCACTAAGTACTGCAGTAGAGGGCTATGGCTATGGATGCCAAGCAGCCTGCTGGAGCTTTAGAGTCTAGCTGCTATGGCAGTGTTCTCATGGGCAGGCACATGTCTCCAGACACTGCAGCAGACCCCGGGTGCTGAGCTCAGCTCTACCTCTCTACTTCTGCCTATAGTGTTGATGCGTCATGGTCTGGTTCTTTGGGATGGTTCTAATTGTTGTGTCTCACCTTGTGGCAGGTTGACTTTAGTCTTGGACTTGATGCTCTTTGTTCTCACGGCCTCAGGGTAGCTCAGTTCTGTAGTAGATTTCCTCTTAAGGTGGCCACCAGCTATCATGGGTCATGTTGAGTGAAAAGAATGGAGCTTCTCCCATCTACTGCTGACCTGTTCTTGGAACAGCCACTCTCACCAAAGCCTGCATCTGGATTTGAGGCGTTTGAGAAGTATGGACTTATCCTGGAGCAGGTTAGGCAGTCTCTTTCACCAGGGCCCCCCAGGACAGAAGTATACTGAGCTTTCTAGCTGCCCTTGAGGCATTTGTCAGTTTCTGACATGCTTCCTCTTTCTCTTTTTGGAAGAGTCTGTTTTCTTGACTCTAACACACAAAGAGGCACTTTATAACTGTCTCACCAGAAGTGCCTATGCTTTTATTTTTTGTCTTTCTATTATTGTTACATCCTTAAAAATTTAGTTTCTCTCTCTCCTTTTCTCTCTCCCTCTCTTCTTCTTTCCCTCCCTCCCCTCTTCTTTCCTTCCGTTTTTTTTTGGAGACACTGTTTATGTATGTATCCCTGGCTGTCCTGGAAAACTGTGTAGACCAGGTCTCGAATTCAGCAATCTGCCTGTCTCTGCCGCCTGAGTTCTGGGATTAAAGGCATGGGACACCATTGCCCAACATAATTTTGTTTCTTGAGCATGGTATTTTTATTATTTGGGGGCAGTACTTTCTTAGTAAATTTGGAAAGTTCTACTCATTCTTTGTTGTTATTTATGTATTTTGAGACATAGTTTTATATAACCCAGGTTTACTTCAAGCTCACTATGTAGTTGAGGATGACCTTGAACTGATCTGCCACATTTCACCTTCCAAGACCTAGGCTTAAAGGAATTTCTACCCTTCTCCTACTGCTTAAACACTACTTGATTCATGCTTTCTTGTGGATGGATTGTTCATGGTGATGCCTGGGAGATACTTTTTTATTTACCTGTGTTTAAATATGGCTGATTTTCCTGCTTTCTACCATGGTTGTGTATAGGTGCCTATGGTTTTTAGACCCTTGATGGTGTAGGAAGGAATCTTCCTCTCTACTTGTGCTTCCCATTTTTGTTTGTAGCATGTTCTGGGTGCTGTGCTCTTCTTCAATCTAATCCTTCTCTTTATCTATACCATCTGGTAACCTGCCTTTAGGACTGGGTAATCTGATGAGGCTCCCTCACTATCCCATTGTTTGTTTGTTTGTCTGTTTTTATGGCTTCCTGTTAAGTTGATCAGTTGGTCTTGCTTTTGTCTTGGCTGGTATCTGTTTTACAGTGCTATCTGTTGTTTCTGATTTAATCTAAACAGTTCCCACTGAGGGGGATGATTGGTACACTCCACTTTTCCATGTTTTCAGGATGCCTGAAATCAAGATTCTGTTTGAGGAAGTATTCCATGAATTTACAAATCAAATTTGATTTGCATGTAGTTAAGCTTATCTTTTTCCTAGTTTATAATGAAGATGTTTGTCAATCCTTGTTTCTCTATAGTTTTATACTGATCTTTGGTGTTTTAAAGTGTAGCGTATTTTTTGTATGTTGTTATTAAGAGTGGATTTATTTCCTTTTGCTTCTTCACATTAGGTTGTGCATCTGTATTTGCTATGTGGATTTGTCTCAGTTACTACTTATAAGATATGCAGGTTAGCATCCTAGTTTTCCCAGTAGGTAAATGCAGCATCTGTTACTAAGTTCTTTCTTCATACCTGTGATTCTCTTCTTGTCTGATTACTTGATGTGTCTGTGATATAGCGATGCTGGTGGGTTTTAATTTCTGCTTTAAGAATGTTACAGGTTTATATTAAGCATTTATATTAATCCCAGCTATGGGAGGGAAGATTTTTATTATGTTTAAAGAACTGTGTATCTGTTTCTGTTCTATCAAGATAATAGAAAGAAAAGGAACATTGAGCCAGTATGATGGCTCAGTGGGTAAGGGCTCAGGCTGCTGAGCCTGCTGATCTCAGGGTCCATGTGGGAAAGAACCAACTCCCGAAAGTTGTCCTTTGCCCACCATGTGCATGCATGCATACGCACACAAAAGTAAATACAAAAATGAAAAACACCACTGGAAGGGGTGCTGCACGCCTTTAATCCCAGCACTTGGGAGGCAGAGGCAGGCAGATCTCTATGAGTTTGAAGCCAGCCTGGTCTACTGAGCGAGTTCCAGGACAGTCTGAGCTACACAGAGAAACCTTGTCTTGGAAAACTGGGAAGAAAAAATAGAAAGAAACCCCATCATGCCAGTTAGTTCTCTGACCCTGCAGTTGGAGGCTTCAGTCCACAATGGGCTTGTTGTATTGCCTTTCCTGTGATGACTCAGTTCCTCAACGTGCAGTGTGCAGAGCATTTCACATTACGGCCGGGGTGGAAATGAGCGCAAGGAGAAGGCTGGGTTTCTAGCTCCTGCATGGGTGCCTCTGGTGACTGGACACCGCCTGTGAGGCCACTGTTCTTACAGCTGACTTTGGCCTCCCAGACCCTACGGGCTGAGGACCAAGCCTTTGACCTGTGTGCTTGCCAGGTGTTTGTCCCAGTGGCACTAATGTGGGACTTTTCCAAAAACTCTGACATTTTTAAAATTAAATTTGAATATTTTAGAGAATTATGTAAGCAAGTATTCCAGTATTAAGCCATTTTTTACAGTGTGGTTTTGGTGTTTTAGGCTTACTGTATCTCATCATGTGTCAAAGTACATAGCTCTTTTCTGTATGCAGTAACATGTTCTATTTCTAACTGTGGAGCTCAAAGATCTGGTAAATTACCACCAATTGTGCTGTTCAAGTGTTTTGTCTTTTTTTCTTCTCATTTAGATCAGGTATTGTTTGGTCAGGGATGTTGAAATCTCCTTTGATATGGATTGAGTTCCCAGCATCTTATAATTGCTTACACAGCTTGTGTCTTACATGCAGAACTAAGAACTTTGTAGCTTAAAATGGCAGTGTTCACACAAGTATCCACTTTATCCCTGACAATTCATTTTTGAAAATTTTTTATGTGCAGTGTTTTGCCTGCTTTATGTGTTCCATGTGTGTGTAATGCCCATGAAAATTAGAAGAGGGCATTGGTTTCCCTCTGGAACTGGAGTTACTGATGGTTTTGAGCCATCATGTATATGCTGGGAACTGAACCCAGGCCCTCTGCAAGAGCAACTAATGCTTTTAAACCCTTATTCATCAATTCCTACAATTGATCCTTGATTTTTTTTTTTTTTTTAAATGTTTTGGGTTTTTAAGACAGGGTGTCTCTACAGAGCTCTGTCCTGGAACTTACTATGTAGACCAGGCTGGCCTTGAACTCAGAGATCCACCTGCCTCTGCCTCCCAAGTGCTGGGATTAATGGCCTGTGCCACCACACTCAGCTTCCACCTAACACTTCTTTGAACATTCCATCTGTATCAGAATTTCAGCCTTACATTTATGTCATCTTTTTTCCCTTATTGGCACGTATAGGATTTGTTACTTGTTGACTTCCCGTGTTACTGAGTAACTCTTAGGAGCTCCACTCTTTCACTGATGGTGGCTTGTTCAGGTTTCTGCTCATATGAATGGTGTGGAGGGAGTGTATCTCTGGTGACATCTGTGTTTTCAAGACCCTTGACATAGGGCCCTACATTGGTGTTCAGTGCTTCTTGATTACTGTCAATAGTTAGGTAGCTTGTGGAAACAATGTCTAGCCTTCATTAACGAGCTCATGTAGTCTGACTCCTAGCTTTCTTTTACTGCCTTAGCAGCTCACTCATGCATTTACAGGGGTGTCTGCTCTTCCCCTTTTATTATTAGGTATTTTGTGATGGAATTTCCAGGCTACCCTGCCAAGCACAGCCCTGGAAATCCTGAGGGTTTAAAAATGCTTGGTAGAGAAAGCATTCATCTTTAAACAAACAAACTCTGTCTGTATAAATGTTTTTTTCCAGCATGCAGCAGAACTGATTAAGACTGTGGCATCTCGCTATGATGAATATGTCAATGTGAAGGATTTTTCTGACAAAATCAACCGTGCCCTTACTGCAGCAAAGAAGGATAATGATTTTATTTATCATGACCGCGTTCCAGACCTTAAAGATCTAGATCCTATCGGCAAAGCCACACTTGTGAAACCCACCCCAGTCAATGTGCCCATCAGCCAGAAGTTCACGGGTAGGTCTGTTCTCTAGATGTGCTTCGGCAAATTCGTGTTTTCTCCAGGTTTTCTCCCTCCTTCCCTCTGTTCCTTCCTTTCTTTCTCTCTCTCTCTTTTTGCTCTTACAGACTCTGAAAATTACTTTTTTTCCTCCCTCTAGTTTTTTTGAGACAGGATTTCTCTGTGTAGTCCTGGCTGTCCTGGAATTCACTCTGTAGACCAGGCTGGCCTCAACTCAGAGATCTGCTTGCCTTTCCCTTCCGAGTGCTTCTGTTTTTCATTTTGCTTGAAGAAAATGGTGCTTTGGTGTAGCTTCTCTTTCTTCTAGGCTTATCTTTGTGGTTCATATAAAATCTTACATTCTTTGTCTAATACCTAGAGTGTAACCTGCATTACTGGTGTTTAAAGGAAGTGTGGGAATGAACATGGCAGTCATCCCTGAAGCACCAGCACTTGTGAGACAGGAATGAGTTTGAGGCCAGCCTGGTCTGTGTAGTGACTTTTAGGCCTAGCTTGGCTATAGAGTGAATGAGATAAGCAGACAAGCAAACAAGTCACAGCTAACTGGGCAAGAAATGTGGGGAATTAAGTATCGTGTTTTCTGTGAAGTTTTCAAGGGGAAAGTAAGCAACGAAGCATGTTTAGTGTAATCCAGATGGGCTAGTTGAAACAGGATTTTGATAAGATCAGCACTTTAGACAAGCCTTGCCATTTTAGTGATGGAATATAAAAACATCGTTATTTATTTACATACTTACACATTTGAGTTAGAGGTCTTATGTAGCCTAGGCTTGCCTTCAGCTCACTGTGTGAACTAGGTAGGCTTTGACTCCTAATTCTCCTGCTTTAGCCTTCTAAGGGCTGAGATTACAGGCGTGAGCCACCATGCCTAGATAATTTTTAAACCAGTATATTTCTAGGGTGGTATTTGCGTTAGATCAATGTTGTTGCAGCCTGACTTCGATAGTGTGGATATATGCAGTTTATGCAATACTTGACAGCTTTCTCATATCTCCTGGGTAACTTTTAGGTGCCTGAGAAAGAGTGATTATTCAACTTATTTTTATTTAATCAGCAGAAAGTGCCATGTGCCAGGGACTGACTTAGTTTGTCTCACAGTGGTGCTGTGGCACAGCAGCTATTATGTCTGCTCTAATGAGGGTGCTGAGGCTCAGAATGAGTTTTTCCCCAACGCTGTGGGGGTGGGAAATGATGAAATGTGACCGTGCATTTGGTCTGATTGTCAAGCGAGCAGGGCTACTAAGATCTCTCATGAAGGATGACTTAAAATCTTAAGGGAAATGAAGGTCCAAAAGGAAGCTTTTGCTGCTTTCATTCATCAGTGTAGTCATCTAGAATTCTCATCACCACTCGCTTTCAATATGATGTTTCTTATGCTATTATAGAGAAAGTGAGTAGTTGTGTCTGTAGTTTGAGTCAGTTCCATGTAATCTACTTGGATCTTCTCTTCTGTTTTAGATTTGTTTGAGAAGATGGTCCCTGTGTCTGTGCAGCAGGCCCTGGCTGTGTTTACTCAGAGGAAGGCTGACTTGGTTAACAGATCAATTGCTCAAATGAGAGAAGCCACTACTTTGGCAAATGGGTAGGTGAACCTGGCTTTCAGAACTGACTTACAGGTTTTCAGATTTGTGTTTTGAATAATTTATGAACATTTTCTAGTTTTTTTTTTTTTTTTTTAAGTTTTTTGAGCTTGGAAATGAACACCAAGTAGAAACAGATACACAGATACATTCCTTTCTTGCAGTTATTTTATAAAGAAGCCTCAGGTAAACTAGAGTTGGAAGGAATGGAATTATAGAAAAAAGATTACTGTTTTGTATTTCAAGAGATTGTATGAGGCAAAATGAGTAGAGATAAGCCCTTTAAGATGCATGGTTCCAGGCAGATGAGATGGCTCCGCTCTTGCTGCCAAGGCTTATGTCTCAAGTTCTGTTTCTGGGGCCCACATGGTGGGAGGCAAGTTTTGTAAGTTGTTCTCTGACCTCCATGTGTGTACTGTGGTATGTGAGTTCCCACATGTGTACTCAACAAAAATAAATACATTTAGTAAAAAGATTCATGGAACCATTAGGTACTGTAAACCAATTTTTATATTAGATTAAGAAAATATTCCATGGTTTAAAAAGTTAGCTATATTTTACACATAATGAAATGCACTCATTTAAAATGCAGTTCATTCAGTTTGGTAAATGCATATACTCATGTAACCACTACAAAGAGAATATACCCAAATCAGTCCTCAGGCCTCATCCCCTTCGGTCCCTCTGTCCTCAGTTCCTGGCGACTCATGTAGTCGGTGTCCCTGTAGTCAAGTGTGCTCTGTGCAGTTAGCCGTGTCACACTGTAGTATGCACATCATGGCTGGCCACAGTATGTAGGGACCACGCCTCTCAGTGCGCGCTGCATGTGCCGTGTGCTCAGTGCTGTGCTGTAGTACCTGTAGGAAGCATCCCGGGAGGAAGACTGTGTTTTGGCTCATGACTTGAGAGGATATGGTTCATTGCGGTGGGGAGGCTGTGGCTGGGAGCAGCTGGCCGTGAACAGGAGCATGAGTTTGCATTGTCAGGCCATAGAGCTGGGCTGTCATCTCTATAGCTTGCCCTCCAGTGGTCCACTTCTTCCATAGGCCTCATCTTTTAAAGGTTCCACAGCCTCCAGAATGGCACCTTCAACTGAGACACGGACTCACGGAGTACTCAGCCTGTTTTACCCTTACACTCAATACTTTATCACTGTGACAGAATACTGTGAAAACTACCTAAGGGAGCGTCTTAGTTTCTTTTCTGTTCAAATACCTTGACAAACAAAGCAATGTAAAGGGTTTATTTTACCTTAGAGTCACAGAGGGATGGGTTGGGGGAAGGGTATGGAGGGAACCTGGGATTAAAACCAGGGCCCTTTATGTGGTAGGTGCATTTTTACCACTGTTTTTTTCTACCACTCTACTCATTTATTGCTTTTTCAAAATTTAAGTTTTCTTAGGACCAGCAATATAGTACAGTGGGTAAAGGCGTTTGCCTTCAAGCCTGATGATTTGAGTTTGATCCCTAGGACCCCCACGGTGCAGGGCAGGAACTGACTTCTGTAGGTTGTTCTCAGACCTCCACATGTGTGTCCTCTCCTTTCTAAAGTAAATTTACTGTGAAAATTCAAAGTTTTTCTTTGTAATCATCTTTTTAAAAAGATCTACTTAGAGTTTTTTATATTTGTTATAAATATTATAAATGACTATATTTTATATATATAAGTATTTTGCCTACATGTATGTATATGTACCATGCATGTGCTGTGCCAGTGGAGGACAAAAGAGGGTGGCAGATTCCCTGGAACTGCCTTTATGGATAATTGTGAGCTGCCGTGTGAATGTTGGGAACTGAGCCTGGCTGGTTCTCTACAAGTGCAGCAAGTGCCTGTAGCAGCTGAGCTTTCTCTCCTAATCATCGTTGTCTTTTTCGTGTATTTGTCTACAAGTTCCTTGTCAGATATGCATGATTGCATAATCTGTTTTGTAATTTTGACTGTTTATGTTTTCAGTTAAAGTGATTATATGATTTTGCCTTTTTTTGTTGTTGATGAAACATTTGTATTACTCCCTCCTTCCCTCCCTCCCTATCTCCTTCCTCCCTTCCTTCCTTCCTTGAAGGCAGGCTTTGTGTAGACCAGGCTGGCCCTGAATTCACAGAGATCTGCCTGCTCTGCCTCCCAAATGCTTGTATTAAAGGCATGTGCCACTACCTCCCGGCTGACTTACACATGACATGTTTCCTGTTTTGCAGGGTACTGGCTTCCCTCAACCTTCCAGCAGCAATTGAAGATGTGTCTGGAGACACTGTACCTCAGTCTATACTTACCAAGTCTACATCTGTAGTTGAGCAGGGAGGCATCCAGACTGTCGACCAGTTGATAAGAGAGCTGCCTGAGCTACTGCAGAGAAACAGGGAAATCTTAGAGGAGGTATGTTTGAAAAGATTGGCTTTTCAGGTAGAAACTGTTCTCTCAGTGTCCGGTAGGAATTAGGACTCATGGGATTCAAGGGATTCAGTGCCTGGTTGAGATCACTCTATTTTATTTGCCCTTAGTTTCAGGAAGAATTCCATTGAGTGAGAATGAGTCATGCTTAGAGAAAATTAATGCACATTAGTTAAATTCATATGGCCCTTGACTGTTGCATACTAGTAAACTCTGGGAATCAAACAAACTGTTTGGGCGTAGCACCTATTAGTCATTTCTTTTATTTATAGATACTAGGTTCTGTATTAGATACCAGATTTTATTTTTGTTCATGTTGCTTTTGATTATGTAGCCCATGTTGGCCTTGATTTCCTTATGTAGTAGCCAAGGATGACCTTGAACTTCTGATCTTCCTGCCTCTACCTCCTGCATTCTGTGATTACAAGTGTGCTCCCTCACACCCAGTTTATGCAATATTTGGAGGTTGAACACACAGCTTTGTGAATGCTAAGCAAACACTTCTTCACCAACTGTGCTACAGCCCCAGACTTAGACTTTAGGTTTCTTAGTGAACATGGGATCATACTTCTCCTGAGTTAAGATCTTAGGGGCCATGGTACATTTGTTAAACTTAGAATTGAGAACATTGTTGTATCATTACTGAGGTTACACACACACACACACACACACACACACACACACACCCACACACACCCACACCCACACACACCCACACCCAGGACCTTGGACCTGTTAGATAAGCACTCTATACTGAGCACCTCCTCAGATCAACTTTGTCATGTTATACCTCATATTTGTGCACCAATAGTGTACCACTTCTTGTATTAAGCTGGGTGTGGTGCCTTACAACTATAATGTCAGCACTTGGAAGGCAGGAAGATCACAAATCTGAGGCCAGTTTGGGTTATATATTGAGACCATTTCAAACAAAAGAAAATGTATGTAGCAGTCAATTAGTGGTACTGAAATATTTCTACCTTATTAGTTATCATCTCTTGGGTATGGTCATTTAGAAAATAGACCTACTGGCTTATACCTACAATTCCAACACTCGGGAAATGGAGGCAAAAGGATTGCAGCAGGTTTGAGGCCAGCCTGTTCTGCAGAGCAAGTTCTAGGCTAGCCAAAGCTATGTAGCAAAACACTCAAAAAAAAAAAAAAAAAAAAAACAAAAAAAAAAAACAAAAAACCAAACCACATGAACAAGCCTCTCAGAACCCATAAACTACAATTAAAAAGGTGTTAGTTTTTAATTTTAATACTAACAATGCTATCTCAAGGATTTTTGCTTTCTTTTCTAAGTCACTGAGATTGTTGGATGAAGAAGAAGCAACTGATAATGACCTAAGAGCAAAATTCAAGGAACGCTGGCAAAGGACTCCATCCAATGACCTCTACAAGCCTTTACGAGCAGGTAACCATAGTACAAATGACTTCACGCAAGTACATTCCTACTTATTCACATACAGTTTTTAAAATTAGTCTCAGTTATAAAGTCTCTTTTACTGACATGTGTATGAATAATGAAAACCCAGATATTTCTTCTTGATTAACAAAGACAAAACATTAGTGAACATCTAGGTTCACTGTGTCGAGTGGAGTTAAGCTGATCATGTAGCTCTCAAGCTTTCCCAAGCCCTGTGTGTATTTTAAAAACATGCACTAAGTGTTACATATGATCTTGTAATTCCTTTTTTACGTAGTGCTGAATCCTAGGTGGATGAAAAAAATGAACCTTGATACCTACTTGGAAATAAATTATGCTTTCTAAAAAGTCAATTATTAAGATTTGTGCTTAAAATAAAAGGTATCTTCATTTTGGCTAGAGACTTTGTTTCTGTTAGATATTTCTAAAAATGGATCTATCTTTCTTTGAAGTTCTATCATCCTTTGGGAAAGGAGCACTTTTTCAGTGAATTGAATCCCGTTTTGGCATGCATGATGTCCTTCTGTATTCGTAAATTGTAGAAAGAGCCTAGACAAATGTCAGTGTTCTGTCACTGGGCGAATGTTAACCAAGTGACAACAAATGACCGTGCCCTGGCTCCAGAAGTAATTTTTTTTCCTGCAAATCAAAAAACTGCACAGATGGATAGAAGCTGAGGTCTGTTGTCTAGTGACCTGGGCTTACCGAAGGGGAAGGAGCTTGATGCTGAGGACCAGAGTTTTAGAATGTAGTCGGCTTCATCAGCCTGCTGAGTTCCGGAAACTCTTTTTTCCTAGAGGGAGCCAAGTTCAGAGCGGTTTTAGATAAAGCTGTGCAAGCTGATGGACAAGTGAAAGAGAGTTACCAGTCCCATCGTGACACCATTGCACTTCTGTGTAAGCCGGAACCTGAGCTGAATGCCGCCATCCCCTCTGCTAATCCAGCAAAGACCATGCAGGGCAGTGAGGTGAGAAGGTGGACTTGATGTGGGCGGGCCTGGGTTTATGGAACTCTATTCAAGTCACTGTGTACAGTGACTTGCCAGGATCTTACTGTTAACTTTTAAACAGTACAGAAGGAGGGTAGAGGTGTAGCTTCATGTAGAGTACTTGCTTAGCTTTGGGTTTGTTCCCAAGTACCACACACTCATGCACATTCACACCCGGACATATAAACACATGTAGAAGTAAGTAAAGGTTATGTCTAAACTAGTATTACATACATTGTGTGTTATGACAGTATTGATTAACATTTTGCTATACTGCTTGTATGTACAGTTCCATTTGTGCTGGGTACTAAGTTTTAGGTACTCAGGTACTGCGTATGGTAGCAGTGTGTAACTCAGTTTTTATGAAAGAGGGAGGCTTGGAAAGAACAGAAACTTCTCTTGGAGTTAAAAAGATGTATAGCCTTCTAACTATGATTTCTTTGTTTCTGTGACTTTCTTCTGCCTTCCACCATATTCCAATTGGCTGGTTTAAAGGGAAAATTGGCAAGGTATGCATATTAGTTAATGGATAGCCTGGTGATATTTCTAATGCTGACAAGAAAGAGCCTCTGATTAGGGAAGTCCAAAGAAGAGTAAATGCAGGTGTAATGTAGTAGTGTAAGGTAGGGGTGATGTAGCAGGATAGAGCAGCTGCTCCCCGTGCAAAGGAAGGAAGCCTGGACAAGAAGCAGACACTGCTTGAAAAGATGCATTCTCTGGGATAGCAGATTTCTAAAGTTGTTGAGACTGTTCTTTATTTCTCATTGTATAGAATGATTTTATATATTCTAGCAAAACTTACTTTGTTAAGATTTAACTCTGTTAAATACTTTAAAAAATTAGCAAATGAATCATAGAAGGACTTTATCTCAATTTATGGTTCAGTGTGGAACATTAGTCATGTACAAAGATGTCAGTGATACATTACAAGTTTATAAGTAGGAAAAGCATAAGGAGTTGCTGTTTCTACTTCTTTCTCTTTGGATCTTTTTGTTTGTTTTGTCTTGTTTCGATTTGTTATTATTTTATTGTTACTCCTTAGATGCTTGTGTTTCTAAGGAGATACAGGAAAGGGTATGGCTTTGGAAGGATGGAGAGGTAGGGAGGAACTGGCAGGACTTGGAGGAGGAAAAACAGTAATCAGAATATATTGTATGAAAAAAAGGTTTTTAGAAATATTTTTGGACAATTTGTTTTTGATTTTGAGATTTTTCATACATGAGTACAATGTATTTTGATCATATCCACAACTCTGTCCACACTCCACTCCTTCTAGTGTCCCTTCCCCAAATGTTTCTCTCAAGTTTATGTCCTCTTCTCTAGTTATTATCAGTCTAATTAATGTTTCCTGATAGATACACTATGTATAAGACCGAAAATGTGGAGCACACACACAGTAGAATGTTTTCTTTGGTGAAAATATTACTTTCTCATACAACATGTCATACAATATGGTTATAGTTTTCTCCCTCTACTCCTCCCAGTACCTCTTTACCTTCTCTTCCCTCCAGAACCATTCCCTTTCTGTCTCTTATTATAAAAGAACAGGCTTCTAAGAGATAGCAACCAAGCACGACAAAATAAGATATAAGATGAAGTAGAAACTATCATATTGAAGTTAGACATGGCAACATAACAGGAGGAAGAGTCCAAAGAGCAGGTACAAGAGTCAGAGATCCACTGATTCCTACAGTCAGGCGTCTAATAAAAATACTAAGTGAATAGCTTTAATATATATGTAGAGGATCTAATATAGACCTCTGTTGGCCCTGTGTTGTTGCTTCAGTCTCAGTGAGCTTATATGCACCTTGCTCAGTTGATTCTGAGGGTCTTGCTCTACTGGTGTTCTCTATCCCCTTTGGGTCCTACAAACTTTCCACCTCTTCTTCTGAGGGGGGATATTTGGTGGAGACCTCCAATTTAGACTCTCTCCACATAATGTCTGGCTGTGGGTCTCTGCATCTGTTTCCATTTGCTGCCAGAGGAGCCTCTCTGATGATGGTTGGCTGAAGCACTGATTTGTGAATATAGCAGAATATCATTAGCAGTCATTTTTAAAAAACTTACTTTCAGTAGGAGAGAAAAAAAACAAAAGCCAAACATATAGCCATTTGAAACAGTTATTGAATTGATAGTTTTGTAACATATACTTTGTTCAGAAGCCAAAGATGATGGAGATTTTTTTCTGTTACTGTGAAGAATACCCTCTTCCCATCAGTCTGTTTGGGTGTCTAGTATTAGAATATTGACAGTCTGAAGAGTGAATGCTCAGACTGCTGGGAATCTATTCTTGAAGATCCTTCCAGTGGATGCTTGGGGCTACCACATGGGGTTGTGCATTGGAGCCAGAAATCTTGTTTTGGGCCTGCAAGACCTTACCCAGATTCAGATCCCTGAATCTGGCCAGAGGAGTGGGCATCTTCACTTGAAAAACACCTTCTTGGAGGAGTACTGCCTAAAGCTGTGTTCTCTGAATAGCTTCTCTCCTGCTCCCTTTCCTTTTTTAACACAGTGCCTAGTGTAGCTCAGGCTGCCTTCAGGCTTGCTGTGTAGCCAGAGATGACCCTGGACTTCTCTCCTGCCTCTACTTCTTAAGAGCTGGCATTACTGCTGTGTTCACCAGTCAGTGTCCATTGGATTCAGAGTGTTGTCCATGGTACTGAGCTAGTTCTCCGTCATGGCGGAATCTAAGCCACACCCAGGCACTTTCTAAATTGGTAGGCATACCCTTTCATCTTCTTGTTGTTTTGTTTTGTTTATTTTAGATCTGTTTTATTTTATTTTTATGTGCAGGTGTGTTTATCAGTGTGTGGGTGTGTGTGTATAAGTACAGATGCCTCTGGAGCCCAAAGGCATTGGATCTCCTGGAGCTGGAGTTAGAGACAGTTGGGAGCTGTCCTGTGTGAGTCCTGGGAACTGAACTCAAGTCCTATGAAAGAGCAGCAAGTGCTCTTAATTTCTAAATCATCTCTCCAGCTCCCTCTCTTGTTCTTTCAACTGGAGAATGTTTATCAACAAGTACTGAGAAGGCAGGAGTGCTCATCACCATGGATCAGAACAATGTTGTGTACCAGGAGCTGTGCTGAGCACGGTGGCCTTCTTGGAGGGAGAAGCCTCCAGGATAGCTGGTGTTGGGTCCTATTTCTCTGTTCTGTTCTTGCTTCATATTTCCCTTCTCTGAAATAAAGTGACAAAGCCTGACACTATTAGCAAAGTTAGAGTTCCTCATGTCCCTAATGTGTTTGACAATGGTAAGTGCCGTAAAGGGTGCCATAGTCTAAGACCACCCAACAGACAAGCTTAAGGGCCCAGTCTCCCTCGTGTTTTTATATGACATGTAAGTTAAGAATGGTTCCTACAGTCTTAAATGACTATGAAAATAGAGACTGATGAATGCTTTGTGATGTGTGGGCATTATATGAGAGTTCATTTAAGTGTTCACCAATGGTTTGTTGTTGTTGTTGTAGCTTAGGCAACTCATTGATTGATTTGCTCTCTGAGCCTGCTCCTCTGACTCTCATAGACTTTAATACTCCATAGACAGTGTGACCAAACCTAATGCCAAAAATTTCCGTCTCCCTCATCTGGGAAGAAGCACTGGCAGCTTGTGAGAGGTTCTGAGTTTCTGTGCTGTCAGAAGTACACAGTCTGTCTGCAGATAGTGGTCCTCCAATGGTGGGTCTTAGCTTCTTTGCTCTTCTGCAGATTTCCATTCCTCCACAGCTTACATTCATTTTTGGCTGATGAAAAATGAGGATGACATCACTTCTTCTTTCCTGCCTTTTTTCTCATTCTGAATTTTTTTTTTGTTAGCCAGACAGTCTGCAGACTGTTTTAAAACAAACTTAGTCTGTTATCAAATGTGCTAGTAGAAAAAGAATTTATTTTGTGGTGTGCGCGTGCGTGTGCGCGCGTGTGCACGCACAGGTGAGCAGTAGTACATGCTCACATGTGCATGAGCACACACTTGAGTTGGCCAGAGATTGTTACTGGGTTTCTTCCTCCATCATTTCTTCCCATCTTTTGAAACAGGGTCTTGGTAAATTTGAAGCTCAGTGTTTGGCCTGACTATCAGGGCAGTAAGTCCCTGTGTCCCTCCTGCTGTTTCACCTCACCACTTCCTCCCTCACTGGGATGGGGTGGTTACAGGCATGTGCCACTGTTTGCAGCCCTTTTTAAAAAGCATTAGTGCTCAGGTACTAATGTTCATTCATTGAGCCATCTCCTAGTCCTCCCAATATGCAATAGTTTTCTAACACTTTAAACTCACACACATTACTCCACCTTGTTAAATAAAAAATATGGCACATAATTAAAGAGGTAGCTTAAGTTCACTAAATAAATGAGATTTTAATTTCTGATCTGTTTTATATTGTTTTTTTTTTTTTAAATCTATCTGAATGCTTTGATTTCAAAGCCTCTATGTAGTTGAAAATGTGTTCAGTGTTTGCTGAATACATAAAGCTGAGGAGCTAGGTAGCAATGGCTGCATAGTGGGCTCTGCCCTGTGCTGGTATTACAAATCTGAATAACAGAGAATAATGGGAGCATGGTGGGGCTCTGCCCTATACAGGAAATTCTGTTGAAAGCATGGATCACGTTGTTCTTTATAGTGGTTCTGAAACAGGTACTTCTATCTTGCAAATGAGAATATTGAACTTTCCAGGAACTCACCTGCCCTGGTTAAAAAGTCACTAAGTCCACCATGTGGACTATTGGTATTCCAGTGCAGAAATACTGTTTTTTCCTTCTTTTGAAACAGTGGTTCTGGGGATTGAATCCAGGCTCTCATGTATGTTAGGCACGCTGAAAACAATGACATGTATTCATAGCCCGGAAATCTAACTTAACCTTTCCTTTTTTTTTTTCTTTTCCTTTCCTTTCTTCTCCCCTTCCATTTCCTCTTCCTCTTCCTTTCCTTCCTTTCCTCTTCCCTTTTCTTTCCTCTTCTTATTTTTCCTTTTCTATCTCCTTTTCTTTCCTCTTCCTTTTCCTTTCCTTTCCCCCTTTTTCCTTCCTTTCTGACAGGCTCTCTGTATATAGCTTTGGCTGACCTAGAACTTAATATGTAGCCCAGGCTGGCCTTGAACTCATAGTTGTCCACTGCCTCTGCTTCCCAATGCTAGGATTAAAAGCGTGTAATACCAAACTTAGTTTGAAATATTTTTTTGGTTGTAACTGTTTGACTTTGACGGGAACATTTGTTTCCAATACTAAAGTTTTGTGTCTCAAAAATATAAAAAATGTTAAGGACCCAAGAGGTAGTGCTCAGGGATATTATTCCTCAGCCTTGGGCTTTGTTCCCAGGGTTGCCCTTCCACTGACCATGTATGTCTTTACTGTTTAGGTTGTAAATGTCTTAAAATCCTTATTGTCAAATCTTGATGAAATAAAGAAGGAAAGAGAGGGTCTTGAGAATGACCTGAAGTCAGTGAATTTTGACATGACAAGCAAGTTTTTGACAGCTCTGGCCCAGGATGGTGTGATAAATGAGGAGGCTCTTTCTGTCACTGAGCTGGATCGGATCTATGGTGGTCTAACCACTAAAGTCCAAGAGTCTCTGAAGAAACAGGAGGGACTTCTAAAAAATATACAGGTAAATTTATATATTTAATAGGAGGTGTGTGCCAGACCTATGACCGTTGAAGAATTCACAGAGCAGAACATGGTATATCTGTATAGTTTGCAAAAATAAAGGTTCTCTACAGCCCAGGTGGCCTGGAACTCACTGTCACTGTGACACAGGTGGGTCTCAAACTTGCCATCCTTGTGTGTCTCCCTCCTGAGTGCTGTGTTAGGAGCAGCATGCACTCTCAGTGGCTGTATTCACCTGTTGTGTGTAAGGCCCTTGGTTCAGTTCCCAGCACTAGAAACAAAGCCACTTCTCTGTCTAGAGTGCTAGATGCTGTTTAGAAGGCATTGCTACTTCAGGCTCATGTTTTCCTATTCATTTGTAGTGTTTCCTTTTTATTTTTCTTGCCACATGTAAGGAAGATTCAAAATTAGTTGGGATCATTGCTGCCTGCTGAATTGTCTGGCAAATACATAATGGACTTTACTGTGCATTTATTTACACATCAGTTTGGACTAACAAGACTTGAGACTTTGCCTTTTATCAGTGAATGTGCAGAATTCTGTGGTGGTATAAAGTATTCTAAAATAAACAGTTTTTATCTGGGTGCTTTTTGTGTTATTGAATGTTAAAAATTGATTACCATTATTGATTATGTTTTGCTATCCATTGGATTTGTGATATTTTTTTCTTAAGAAAAAAAGTCAAAGCAGTATATTGACACAAAACAAATTTCAGATACTTATAATGGTGCATATCATCAATCACAATGTCCTAATTGGAAGAGATCTGTACATTTGTTGTTATTGTTGTATTTTTGTTTTTTTAGGATGGGCTTAATGGTGTAGCCCTGACAGGCTTGGTGGTTTTAGAGATCTGCTTGCCTCTGCCTCCCTAATGTTGGGATTAAAGGTGTGTGCCACTATACCTAGCCCCAGTACAAAGATTTTGATTGACTGTCAAGATGGTTTAAGGGGATAAAGATGTATGTCAGCAATCCTGATGACCAGAGCCCAATCCCTGGGACCTGTGTAATGGAAGAACCAGCTCCTGAAATTAGTCCTCTGACTTCCAGATGTGTACTGTGGCATAGGAACTCTTCCCCCCCACGTGCATTCAATAAATAAGAAATGAATGAAAACGTAAAAGTATTTTAAGCTGAATTAAATTTATAGTAAATATACATTTTGTTTGTTTTTTTTTCACCAAGGTCTCACACCAAGAATTCTCTAAAATGAAGCAGTCTAACAATGAAGCTAACTTAAGAGAAGAAGTTCTGAAGAACCTGGCAACTGCATATGATAACTTTGTTGAACTTGTGGCTAACTTGAAGGAGGGCACAAAGGTATGCGTGCTTACGTGAGGGACGAGAGCTAATGATTACAGATGGGAAAGGAAAGTGGGATGCTGTTGATTTTACATGTGGATCAAGTATTGTGCTTTTAATTTGGTTTTAGTGCTGTTTGCCTCAGTCAGGCTTGTAGAGCAAGAACTCTCAGTGGAGGCAGCAACATCTTGGCAGAACTTTGAAGAATAAATTTTGTAGAGAAGGGACTAACATATTGCAGATAGCAGGAATTAGAGGTATCAGAAGCCAGTGGCATCTTCTTAAAGGCTGGTTGGACTCATCTGTGATAGAAGTGACACATGGCTTTGATCTTCTGTGCTGGTGGTGTGGTGATGTCAGACTTGGGACCTGCCTGAGTGTCAAAGTGGTTTTCAGATATGTTCCAAGTGCTTTCTTCCCTTTGTACATGAAAGGGTTTAGAATTTTTTTTTTTTTTTTTTTTTTTTGTATTTCAGATTATTTTGCTTTTGAGACAAGTGATTTTTAAATTTTTCAGATGTAAAATTCCTTTTGCTTCTTAACTCCATAATGGGCACTGAGTAAAGTTGATTTGATGAGATGCGGTATTCATCCTCAGCAGGCCTTTGAATGTCAAGCCTTGGAATGGGGACAGTGTGGTGCCATTTATTGGGACTCATGCGTTGTTCAAGCAGATAACGTGAGGAGTTCTCCAGAGAGCCTTGGTGTTATCTGCAGTGGTGCCTGCATTTCTGTAGTTATCATACAGGTGTAGCCCGCATGACAGTAGATTACAGTCGTCATTTAATAGTTGGTTTTTGTTGGACTGGGAACATGTTCCCAGTTATAAAACTTTTAACTTACTGTCATTTAATATTTAGTGCCAGTATTTTGTAAACATGATCGCATTAGTTTTATTTCCTTACCAGTCTTAGAATATGTTTAGTACTACGTTAACTCAGTTGATGGCATGAATGACTTCAGCTTCTAGTTTCAGCATCAGTGATAAATTATTGTTAGATTTTGTTTTTCCCTAGATTAAAATTGCTTTTTAACTTCTTACTTGTATTTGCTCTCTGCTTATAGTTTTACAATGAGCTGACTGAAATCCTGGTCAGGTTCCAGAACAAATGCAGTGACATAGTGTTTGCCCGGAAGACAGAGAGAGACGAGCTCTTGAAGTGAGTTTATTTTGTGCATCAGATTGTACTTACAGCGACTTTCTTGTGTTTGGGGCGAACTGGGTGGTGCTGGTGCAGCAATTGCCTTCTCTTCTGAGTATTTCACAGAGCCATAGGGCATCTTGCTCTGGGATGAAAGAATGAAGAAGAGGAGAAACCCTGAGTGTGGGAGTAGAGCTGGGTATAGATGTGGAAAGGCTCAGGAGTATTAGTCTAGGGAAGACAGGTGAACACTTGAGAAAAAGAAGACAGGTGAACACTTGAGAAAACAACGGTCCTTTCTTTCTGCAGGAGCCATTAAGAAAGCGGGGCCTGTATGTCAGAGGACTGACATAGCAGGTAACCCAGAGAAGTTGACCTATATTCACACAAAGATGCTGTGTTTACGTGAATAAATGAACAGAATTTAGCAAACTTTGACTGACACCTTAAGGGGAGCTATCCATACCTGGCACTAGACTTTTTATTTGTCCTTTGTGCAGGGTAACCCTAATTAAGCATGTATATGTATGTATATGCACACATATATGTACGGACATATACACATACATGTATATGCACTCATATATGGATATACGTCTATATATATTTAGGAAACTTAAGAAATTGTCTGTTTCTGGATGGCTCTTTGGATCACCCATGAATATGTTAATTACTGGAGTACGTAAAGGAAAAGTCTGTGCTAAGGCTTTATTGTATATGTATATACTTTAGATCTTTCCAATCTGATGTTTAGAGTATTAATATTGACTAAAAGCACTACATGTGTTAGCAGTATTTACTTACATTAAGTACCTACATACATCCTTTTCTTTTATAGTGTGTCTAATTTATCTTTCATCTGGGCCCATTTGTGAGGGTGGAGGTGTAGGTGGTGGGTGAGAGGTGGCTGTGATAGGGTGACTAATGGCCACTTCAGGACTAGTGGTCCTACTGCAGATATTGAGTGTGCCCTGGGAGGCTGATGACCATCGTGTCACTGAGTGTGTGGACCTCTGTGAGATATGACACTAGTGACAGGCAACCCTAGGGACAGAGGACCCTAGTGAGAATGACCCTAAGGACAGAGATCCTAGTGACAGATGGTATCAGATGACCCTAGTGACAGATGATCCTAGTGACAGATGACATGAGTGACAGATTATCTCAATGACAGATGACCCTGATGACAGATGACCCAAGTGGCAGGTGACCCTAGTGACATTGTTATATTATCTTTTAACATAAAATAGTTCAGTGCCATATATCTTTAAATAACAGGTCGAAAATTGTTCTACAAATTAACACAATGATTTGCATAATTAGTGCTCATCTTTGTTTTATTCTGTTGTTTGTTTGAGACAGGCTTTCCACTAGATAGCCAGGCTGGCCCCAAACTTGCACCTTTTCTGTGTCTGCATCCCTGGTGCTTGGATTTATTTTGTGTGGACACTGATGTCATACCCTGATTAAAGTGTTAGCCATGTGACTGTGGGTCGGAGTTCTGACAGTTGTGCTACTAGCTCTTTGTTTTGTAATTGACTCTTAGATAGGAAGCAGACTATTTGAGTTGTAACTAAGATGTCTGAGAAAAATCAATCCACCCTCTGTTAGGTTTTAAAAATAGAGTTAGGAGTCATTTTTTGCTTCATATGTGAATTAAAAACAAAAAAAGTGACATCTTAGATTTTTTTTTTCACGGTGTCAGTCTAACACTTTGTCTTTCACAAGGGATCTGCAGCAGAGCATCGCCAGAGAGCCCAGCGCTCCATCCATCCCTCCCCCGGCCTATCAGTCCTCCCCAGCAGGGGGACATGCAACAGCTCCTCCAACTCCAGCTCCAAGAACCATGCCGGTGAGTAGGCCAGGTCCTCTGCTGTGTTCCTGCAGCTGGCCAGCTTTGAAGGCTGAGGTGCAGGGAACTCGTGGTCCCCACCTGTGGCCAGGGTCCAATGTTTGAATGCCTTCAGTGTGTAAACACAGTGATACTCATGAATTCTCACCCCCCAAAATGTTTAGGCTGAGTGAAACAACACCTTTAGAATGTGCTTTCCCCTTGCAAATGGGCTGAACAAACCTAGAGCATGAGATGCAGATTTTGAGGCAGTTGAAGGAGTATTTGGTTGCATATTCAGCCTGCTGCCTTCAGTTCAGCTCCCAGCAGTTTGTGACACATACTTCGTGAATCACTGCTTGCTTTCTCTTCCAGCCTGCTAAGCCCCAGCCTCCAGCCCGGCCCCCACCTCCTGTGCTTCCGGCAAACCGAGTTCCTCCCACTGCTGCTGCCTCCACAGGGGTGGGCACTGCCTCACCAGCGCCACAGCAGACCCCTGGCTCTGCCACCCCTCCGCAGGCTCAGGGACCACCATATCCTACCTATCCAGGATATCCCGGGTAAGATAGTAACACCCTGTGTCACCAAGAATTGACTAATTTGTAGCTGTAATTAGTCTTTAAAGATAGGTTCGTCCCTTCTCTGAACATAACCATGTTGTTAGCTTGCCCAGAAATTAAAAATCGTGTTATAATTACTTATTTGAGTAGCTCAAGAGCTACTCCTAAGTGTCTAGGATTTTTATTTTTATTTTTTTAACATGCATTTATATAAACACATCTTTTTTGGTATGAAATTTACTAAGTATATGTCCCCTGGCTGTCCTTATTTATGTGAAGCAAAGATAATAAGGTGTTCTTTATTATATACTTGTACGTGGAGATATCAGTATCTAATAAACTGAATAGAAATTTAGACAGTTATGTGATGTGTTTGAAGGTTAGCCTTCTTCGTAGAAATCCATTTATCCTTTTGTTCATTTGTTTATTTGTTCTGGGAACTGGACCAGGTTCTTGGGAAGAGCAACCAGTGCTCTTAACCAGTGTGCCATCTCTCTAGTCCTGAATAGGACCATGTCTAGGGAACTAGACTTCCTCATTAAAGTGAACAGTTAGTAGTTGGATTCAACTATTATTTTCTGGGTAGTATTAAAACTGTATGTTCTTTGACTCAGTTAATAGTAGGAATGCTTTTTCTCTATGTATCTTGACACAAGCCCTTTGCATCACTCCTCTTTCCTAGAAGAAGGAAAATAGAGGAGAACGGTTTTTCTTGAAACCTGACTTTAGAGCAGTGACTGTATGATTCACTCTGTGGGGTTTGATGTACCAGCTCAGTGTTTTGTTTTCTTCTCACCATCAGGTATTGCCAAATGCCCATGCCCATGGGCTACAACCCCTACGCATATGGCCAGTACAACATGCCGTACCCACCGGTGTATCACCAGAGCCCTGGACAGGCTCCCTACCCAGGACCCCAGCAGCCCACCTACCCCTTCCCTCAGCCCCCGCAGCAGTCTTACTATCCACAGCAGTAATGCTGCCACATGCTGGTTGGTTCCGATCCCAGGGACAGGACAGCAGCTGCCATCAGTGTTGTAAGCCATGCTCTGGTCACTTGAGCAGACCTTGCTCTACTGGTTACGTGGATGATCTCTCTGTGGCTAAAAGCTGAAGGCTGGGCCCCACCTCCACATTTGATCGCACTCGTGAGATTCGGCTGCTGTTGCAGTATAAATACTAGGTATAATAGCATTTGAAAAAAATTACAGTTTATAAAACATTGAAAATGAGAAATTAAACCTGCAAGTGAAACATTTGAAATTAGCATACTTTATACAATGCGGTTGGGACAAAGATGGCTTAAGTACTGATATTTAAGGAAAAGTTTTCTTTCTCTTTTGGTTTATTGATTTAGTTTAATTTCTATTATGATATTTTGCATAATCAAGGCATTGTAAATCTTATAATTTAAAAATAAATTACTTAAGAACAGTTGTCATTGTTATGTTTTGTCATTGATTCTCATTGCTGTCTTAATTCCTTTCTGGTATTAGCCTCTTATTTTGTATATTCACAGGTTAAATGTATTGTGTTGAAATGCGTGAGCATGCAAGGTAACAGTCAGGTGCAAGGTGGTTGTACGAAAGCCCAAAGCATAGCAGGCGCCACAGTTTATCTTTCATATGCTAGTAAGCGCATTTTGACATTTACGTTCAAAAGTCCTATAATGTGGAAGATACACAATTGTTACCAAAGATTCTTCAAATAAATATAAAATTTAAAAAGTATATATTTAATGTTTTATTGTTAGATTTTCCAAGAAAATGATGCAAATTCTGGTAATAGTTTATTTCCTCCACCCATAATCTAGTTAAAATGAGTAGCTGCCATAGAGTGTCGTCTGATGTGCTAGAATCATGGAGAAAATTTCCTGTGCCTTTTTAGTCTTTGGTTCCATCCATTTTTATCCTGTAATGTTCAATTAGTGCACAGTGTGTTTGAACACATATTAACCCTTCTTCTAAATTTTCTTAGTATTTTTAAATTTTTTTGTGGCTCCTGAAAGCTGAGGTTATTTTGTAATCCAGGGAGCTACAGGACAATTGCTGAGTCTGGAATATGCTCAGTTGCTGTCCAAGCCTCAGTGACAATGAGGACACGCCTTCTGGACCAGGAAGCTGTGCACATGGACATTGTCCCGGGTCTCGGTGGGCTCTGTGTGAGGTTCTTTTCCGGTATGTTGGGTGTATGAACGGGTTTCTAATCTGTGTTTGTTTTCTTAGTTCAATGTTGATTTTTTCTTGCATTATCATCTCATTTAAACGATACTGTCACTCAGTCCACTGTTGCTCTCATTGACAATTTAGGCTGATATTTTAAATGTAAGATGAAGATACGATTGTAAAAGGGAGTAAATTGGTTTAAGTATATGTGTATTTCAAAGCAACTTTTGTTGTATGCAGAAAACACAAAGATGTGCTAATTCAGTATAAATGACTGATTGCCTGGAATATGGACATTGGCTTAAAGTCTGATAGCTAAACCTTGGCAAAACTAACAAACATATCATTGCTTAGCTTCAGTCCTCTGGGTCACTCAGTGTATGCGATGGGTTTATTTGAGTCCTCTGTAAATGCCGTTTAAGTTCTATATTCTTCCCGCTTGAGTATCTTATGCTGACATAAGACATCCCCTGAGTTAGGGACTTCCCAGTCTGCTAGTCTACTCCTTATAAAACAACCACCAAAAGAAAAGAAAAAAAGAAAATAAATGGCCTGAATATTCTCTTGGGGGGAAAGGGATTGGAGGTCTAAAGGAAAGGGTAAATGTATCAGAGAGGCAAAGGGAGGAGGGGTCAGGCCAGCAGCCATCCCCTCACTGCACTGGGCCATTCCTGCAGGGTCACAGAGGATCAGTGTGAGAGGGCTGCCCCTCCCAGGGGCCTCCCAGCTCAGCTCCTTAGGGAGGCCTCCCTCTTGCTGTCTCATGCTGTAAGTTGCTCAGGATGCTCCTCTGGTCTCTGGATCAGCGCCGTTGACCTGCAGTGCTGGTTTGCCTTCCTAAGCTTGTCTAGTTTGACAGGGACTGGTGGAAAACCTCTTCATGTGCCTATTGTCCTTCCTAGAAAACTAGGTGGTGGCCCTCGCCAGCATGGGTTCGCCAGCACACTCTACCCCGTGCTCGGTCTGCTGTGCTCCTCAGAACGCACTGCAGAAGTTACTGTGCATGGCGCTGTTCACTTGGCAGTAGAGGGTTCCACGCTGGCTCACGCATGTTACCCCGTGTCCATAATTAGACTTGCTGTTACCTTCTTAAATGAAGGCAGCTGTCCCCAGGCCATTTATGTTGGCTTCCTAAGTCTGTTATGAAATGGATTATCTGCCAACTGCTGGAGTCAGAGGTGGGAAAAGCCACCCGACTGGGATGTTCTGTCCTCAGAGGTCAATGACTTGACCACTCAGTGTGGTGTCAGGCTCTCAACTAGGGAGCCATTTCTCTGTCCTTGGTCTCTTTCTTAGTTGAGAAAAGCAGTCACATGTCACTGCACAGCAACCAGTCTCTCTGAGACACCCTAGTCCCCACTCCAGCACCCTTGTAATGATGCCCCTCACCCCCAGTGTAAGTGTGGATGTCCCAGTTGTATTCCCACCTTTGTCCCAGCCAGCTAGCTACCTTTCTAGTCAAAACAAATTAATGTTTTTGTTTTCAGTTGAAATTTATAGTTTGCAAACATTCCTTTGTATACATTTCCTAATTGCATGAACAGGATAAAATAGTAAACAGGCCTCAGTTTGCTAGTGGGAATTTTTTAAGTCCCTGTGACTTATCATTTCTAAGACTGACCATTGTTAGTTGATTCCTAGTGTAGAACAGGGCACAAGCTGGACAAAACCTTTGCAAGAAGAGTTAAAATTGCTGGTTTAAATATACAGACTTTAGAACTGAATGGAAGAGCAAAGAAGGAAAATTATATTTTTAACAAAAGAGAATATTCAGGCTTTATTTCTGGTATGAAGTTTATATTTTTAAGAAATATATATATCCTATATTATCACACCGGAGATTTTAGATTTCTTTCTGGTTATAAACATTGCTGGTAGTTGGATTATATTTTTTATTGTATTCATTTCTCTTAGGGGGAAAATTGTAAAGAAACAAAGATTCCAGATGAATGTATCCTAGAAATAAAAGTTGAAAGATTCTTACTTCTGTGGAGTATGAATTCTTATTTAAAGTGTTTCTCTTTCAGCTTCATAGTTTCCATGGTTGGCTTTACAAGTGGCGGGGTGGGAAGGAATGTATAGGATTGCAGAAGGAAGCCTGTTCGTTTTTAATAGCTGCTGTCTCATATTTTGATTGTTATGGGTGAACTGTGTTTTTCATTAATTAGCAATTTGCTCACAGCTCTTTCAGACATGCGTTTTCTTCTACAGACTTTTTTCTAAATTTTGGAATAGGTCAATAAAGTTATTACAGTATTCATTTAATTGGAGAAGGGATAATGAAGTGTGTTCATGTTCCTTTCCCCTCTTTATTAGTGCATGTTAATTTTAATTGTGGCATTTCATACATGTGTATCACGGGCTTTGGTCATGCCCTCCCATTACCGCCTTTTGTGTTTCCTCCAGGAACAAGGCCTGAGAGTCTAGTAGTCACCCTTCTTTCTCCCACTTGGTTTTTTTTTTGTTGTTGTTGTTTTTGTTTTTTTAAATTAGGTTTTGCATATGAGAGAAAACATGAATATTTCTCTTACTTTGCTTGATGATGATCTTTATGTTCGTTTTCTCGTAGATGTTATTCTTTTTGGCAGAATAAAACGTGAATCTGTTGATAAGCATCCATGCTGACTCCATGGCTTGGCTGTTGAGAGTAATGCCACAGTAAACATGGTCCAGGCACCTCTTTTATGTGCTTAGATTTCTCGTGTGTATGCCTAGGAACAGTATGGGAGGATCATACGGATATTCTATTTTTAGTTTCTTGAGGCGTTTTCTTTTCACAGCAGTTGGACATTTACAGAAAATTGAGCAAAGAGAACAGAAGCTTTCTATGTCTCTCCACCCAGTGTCTGTTAACATTTGCATTAGTGTGGTTCATAGACTGTTACGAGTGAACCAACACTCGCACATTAACTAAAGTTCAGAGTTCACATTAGGGTCCACTTTTGTCCTGAAAGATAGTTTAGCCGAAAGCATTACAGCTTCATGCAGAATAGATTTACAGTCTGGCAAGTCTCTGTGTGTCAACTCCTCACCCTCCCTTCTCAACCGCTGGTCTTTACTGTCTTTCTAGTGTTGCCTTTTCCAGAACGCTAAGGGTTGGGGTTGGCACCACATGGTATGTAAGAGCCTAATTCCTTTGTGTCCATTTCCCCCGTGTCTTTCATGGCTCAGCATGGTGTTTGTGGATTTACCTGGGCCAGCCCAGCTACCCACTCCTCTCTTGATGGATGTTGGGCACTTTTAATTCAAGAAACAGAGGAGGAAACATTCTTGTAGACATATGTGTGGCCATACATTTTCAGTAGTATTTGGGTGAAAATCTCAGTGCAGCTTCTGGATGAGACCATAGACTGCTTTGAGAAAAACTCATTTTCCAAAGTCTGTTTACTATTTATCCCACCAGCAATATGTAATAGTTCCCATTTCCCCCATCATTGTCTTTGAGTATCTGTTTCCTGGGTGTTAGTCATTGGAATATGTGTGTGGTATTACGTCATTACTTTGAATTCATAATTCACTGAGGATGCTGGTCGTCCTCTCATTGTTAATATAGCAATGTTTTAGGAAACTATCCATTTTAAAAAAGATGATTTTGTGTTTTTGTGTGTGAATGTTTTGCCTACATGTATATATGTGCCCCGCATGTGTGCCCATTGTACCTGGAGGCCAGAGGAAGGCTTCATATCTGGAGCTGGAGTTAAAGGCTCTGAGCCATGGTGTAGGCCCTGGGAATTGAACTCCAGTCCTGTGCAAGAGCAGCTGGTGCTCTTAACTGCAGAGCCACCTGTTTGTCCCTGGTCTTACTTTTTCTTTTTTAAAAGGTAAGTTATTTTACGCTGAGTTTTAAGGATTCTGTGTATAATTTGGATATAGTTTTATCAGATGTATTTTGTATCCCCCCCAATTTGGTAACTTGCTTTATTCTTTTGTTAACCTTCAAATTTCAAATATTTTATTTTAAAATGAGTATATTATAATAGTACACAATATAGATAGCAAAGTTAAACATTTTTAAACTTTATTATAAAAAACCTTGGAAATAAAAACATCACCAAGCTTCATTATGGATCTTTGCCCTCTCCCCCGTCATGCTTTTATCAAAAAGTCAAATCCAGAGTCACCCGGATTTCCTCTTCCTATACCCTAGGAGTTTATAGGCTAGCGTTTTACATTTAAATCATCACTGACAGTTGAAACACAGTTTTTTGCCAAATGAAGAATTCCAGGCTGGGGTTGTCTCTTTTCAACATGAAATATCTCACTGCATTCTCTCCTTGCCTGAACAGTTGTGTAAAGAGTTCCAGTGAATTCGTGTTGAAGCGTGGGTAAAATGAGCTCACCTCTGACTTTGAAGATCTCCTGGGTTTTCTACAGTCTGAGTACAATTTACTGAGGTGTAGGCCTTCACAGTTCTCTGAGTTCCTCATCTGTGTTCCTGTCTTTGCAGAACTTTCCAGTGTACTGCCCTGGCAGAGAAAGGGTTTTGTGTAATTATTTAGCCCAGGCTGGCCTTGAACTCCTGATCTTCTTGCTCAGTGCTGATCCCCTTCTCCAGTGTTGGAACTTCACATGACTGCACATGCTATTTCTTCTGCTCTTTTCTCTTTCTTGACTTGGTGCTCTCACTATGTCTGTGGTCTCAGCTACCTCAGTCTGTAGATATTCTGTTCCAGTTCTTCATTCTTTTTTCTTTTTTCATTCCCACTTGGGAAATTTCTGATGTATTTTCAAGGTTGCCAAGTTTGTTTAGGGTGCATCCCACCCTCAGTCTGTGTTCAGTCTACTTGTGTGTGTGTTTCCTTTGGGTGGTGCTAGGAGTTGAACCCTGGGTCTCAGTATTCCACCACTGAGCTGTATTTCTCAGCCCAGGTTTCCGTCTTCTGGAGAGCCCACCCAAGGTCTCTCCATCTCTCTTATATGGCTCTTGGTTTCCAGCCTTTCCTTTTGTATTCGCAGGATTCCAATCTGTGTACAATCTGTGTACATTCTTGCACAATGTCCATTTTTTTTTCCTACCAGAACTCTCAGCATCGTAATTACTTATTTAAAATTAGTGGTGATAGCATTCCCTAATCCGTGCCATGTATGGGTCTGTCTAGTGCTCCCTTTGGAGGATGGGGTGCTTGGATAGAAGGATCTGGAATCAGACTGGTCCTCTATAAGGTCCACTCTGATAGAGCCGAATGCCTGGGCAGCCAGTGTCCCTTCCCTCTTGCTGGATGCACGAAGAAACTTTTTATCAAATAGATCCTGAAAGTAGATGTCATGAAAGTGGTGTGTGTGTGTAGGGGGCTAGGACTGAGCAGCAAGAAGCTTTACTCTTAGGTCAGCCCACCCCAGGCTTTCAGCAGTTTATTCATGATTTGTTTCCCTTCTTGATCCTGCCTCCCAGGGCATAGGCTCACAATAAGCGGTATCTGTATACCCTTCGTGCACTTCTATGACTATCTGTTGCCCAGGGAGCTCAGTTCTCTGATGGAGCTACAAAGAGTTATTGGCTTTCAGTTTGCCTCTCTTGTTCCTTGTAAGAATGAAGCGACCTTTTGCTGGAGAGACAGCTCAGTGGTTAAGAGCGTGTACTCCTCTTGCAGAGACCTGGGTTCAGTTCCTGACACCCACAGGATGGCTCTTAACGGCTGGCTGTAACTCCGGTTCCAGGGGAATCTGCTGCCCTCTGGCTGGCCTTTGTGGGAACTGTACACATGTAATACACTTGCATATACATAGGGAAAAAGCTTACACATAAAAATAAAAACACAAAAGCAGTGACAAACTTTTAAGCTCTTTACATTTCAGCGTGGAGCTTAAAAGTCTAGACACATTTTTTTTCTTTTCTTAGAATGATTTTATATGTTTTTGGTGTGTCAGTGTGGCTTAATGTAGGTGAATGTGTGTCTCAGTCAGGGCCACCAGTGCTGTGATGTAACACCACGACCAAAGCAACTTGGGGAGAGGGTGTGTCTGGCTTATGCTTCTCTACATCACTGCCCATCACTGAAGGAAGTCAGGACAGGACTCAAGCAGGGCAGGAACCTGGAGGCGGGAGCTGATGCAGAGGCTGTGGAAGGGTGCGGCTCGCTGGCTCGCCCCACATGGCTTGCTCAGCCTGCTTTCTAATAGAACCCAGGACCACCAGCCCAGGGATGGCAGCACCCACAATGGACTGGGCTCTCCCATCAATCTCTAATGCCTTACCGGCCTGCCTACAGCATGATCTTATGGAGGCGTTTTCTCAGTTGAGGTTCTCTTCTCTCAGATAGATGATTATAGCTTGTGTCAAGTTGACACAAAACTAGCCAGCACAATGGTAGTCGAGTACACTTCTCTTGTGCTTTTGTGCAGGTCAGAGGTCAATGCTGGGCATTTCCCTCTCTTGTTCTCTATTTTATTTATTATTTTTTAAAATTTATTTTTGTTTTATATGCACGGGTGTCTTATCCATATGTAAGTCTGTGCACCGTGTGCCTGCAGTACCTGAGAGGGCTGGAAGACCGTGTCAGATTTCCTGGGACTGGACTTACAGATGGCTGTGGGCCCCCACGTGCCTGCTGGGAATCAAACCTGGATCTTCTGGAAGAGAAGCCAGTGCTCTTAACCACTGAGCCATCTCTCCAGCCCCTCCAATACATTTTCAAATGTGGCTGTGGCATCATGTGGTCTGAGACAGTCGCTACTGACCTTGAATTTTCTTCATTGCCAGTGGCTGCTTTGTTTAATCAATACCACAGCAGCCACTGTGCTTCACGTAATAGCTACTTGCATGGTGACTGTGGTGAGTCTTCATTCCTGGAACCCTACGAAGGTGGTGACACTTCACAGCTGTAGTCTAAACAGAGGGTGTGGCTCAGCTGAGAGGTTGAGCAGCTTCTCAAGGTTATGCTGCTGAGAAGCTGAGCTGGGCTCAGGTGGCTTTCGGCCTCCGGTGATGCTGTCGCTGTGCCTATACTAACAGGTAGCCTGAGCTCTGTGGGCTCTCGGCATGC